AATATAGATGAATCATTTGAATGGCTTTATATAAAAGTATCCATATAAGGCCATATATGAAAGCATCCATATAAGACCTTATATGGATGCTTCTATATATAGCCATATATGGCCATATACAGCAACACCCATATATGAGGATATAAGGCCCATATATGGCTATATCAGGATTTGGACATATCAGGTTATATACGGCCCATATATAGGGATTCCATATATGGGCTAGATATGCCCAATTCCTGATGTAGCCATATATGGGGATTTTTATATAAGTCCATATATAGGATTTTTGTAAGGGCCGTGAGGCAATCAGGGAGTCGTCACAATTACGTTTAAATTCCTTCCCATTTGTTGCCCACGTGGGGGTTGGTTCCTTTGTCCTGGTTTAACCAGAAAAGCTTAATAATCTAAAGCACCCCAGCACCTGACCGGATGTCATGCGCGCACCACAGTGTCTACGGTCAGGTTCGATCTTCTCGTGCACTTCGACTGAGTGCCGTCAAAGCAATGCTGCGTGCCGGAGCAAACGCAGTGCAACGGCTGGCGTGCCTGCCCAAGCTTACCGCACCCACTTCTTACAGCGGTCCTACATTGAACGAGCTACGAATTTTCTTTAGTCTCGGTCAAGGCCAATGGGCCTGTAATGTAATGAAGTAAGAATGTTGCGAACTAACTTTGACTCTGTGACATTTGATACGAACGTACGATACTTCACTGGTACGAACAGGTGCTACCGGCGCTGCTGCGGTAAGCGCGACAGGCACGTGCGGGCGCATGAACTGATGCACGGGCATGCCCTTCGTGCCTCCGAGAGTGCGCATGCAAACCTCTAAGGCCCGTATGCAGAAGGAGCTGTTGTCAAATATACAGATGGCGCTGCTGTCAGGCTTGGCACTATATTCAAGTGCATTGAAACGTGCTTTTTGTGTTGCGCTGTGCTTACACAGCGACGCAAGAGATGTCCTCACACATCAGACATCCTATGAAAGGTGGACAAGGCCTGGACGATGAAGGTGGCGGCCTTGGCTAAAGGTGCTGGGCCTTCCGACAACGCGGTCCGCGGCAAGCTCTTCGATTGTGCGGGTACAGCCGAAGCGAATCATCAGCACCACAGCAAAAAAACTAACATAAAAAGGCTAAAAAAATGTCATGCCTTTATCCAGCGCGTGCAAAGCCCTCTTTAAGGACACCGGGTAGCGCCCATGCATTTCTGATCATTTTGAGTTACCGTTTTTTCAGCCACAAATAGATATTTGCACAATCTATGCATCATTTTCTTCTAAGTCTGATGCTCTAATCACTGAAAGAACTTTTTCTAAGCAGAACTATTAATAAAATTTTCGCACATTTTTTACCACTACGACCTTAAATTTTTAGCTTATTGGCATTTATAAAAATGCGTTTCTAGGAAACTCTAAAATGCATCATTTCGATTCTGCCTCAGTGGCTGATGAATTTACGCAAAATGCAAGGAAAATAATCAAATATTATCTTTAAATGAATGTAAAGTAATGATAGCCAAGTAATAAAAAGAACATGGTTTGAAGATAATCAAGTTTAAAATTATAAAATGGTGGAAGACCGAACGCATTTTCTCACAAACACTATTCAAATATTTCATTTGCTAGTAGAAAGCTTGGTAATTTTTTCCAAAGTGAATGTTTTTTAAGAGCCTCCTGTAATGGTTGTGTCATAGAGCTGTATCCGCAATGTATCGTCGAGTGTAGTCAAAAATTTTCAGCAAAGTTAATGTAGTTTGGCCAGGCTTCAATCCTAACTGAGTATTTCGGCTCAGATTTGGGTGCACGTTAAAGAACCCCAGGTGGTCGAAATTTCCGGGGCCCTCCACTGCGGCGTCTCTCATAATCATATGGTGGTTTTGGGACGTTAAAACACACATATCAATCGAGAATTTCCTCTTGTGTCATACTTCTATCATCAAGTGCAAGATAATGTCCTATGTCACAATTCTACAAGAACCCCGGACAGCGAAAGTTTTCTTTGCAATATTTTTGGCTTTGCTACTGGTTATCCCGAAATTATATCGTGGATGGCCTAACGCATCGTTTATTCAATGCTAATGGCGTTAATTTGAAACACTTATTCGTCAGTTTGAAACTGCCGCCTAAATATCATAAGCAGCTAGCGCCCCACAGCGGAGCACCGTCTGAGACTACGTGCACTCAAGCTTCGGTGGCACTTACACATGCTGACTTCAAATATTGGGACCTGCAAACGGTAAATAATGAAATGATGTGGCTGTATTTAGCATGTCCCGTTCAGAAAAAAATAAAAGCATTCCTGGCGTAAGAAACCAGAACCACCTCTAGAGCAGCCCGACAACAAAGCGAATGGGGTGACAACTATTAGCCCTCACCGGGTGCGCGCCCCGCGACTGGACCTCTGCATCGTCCAAAATTGATCCCCGCAAGCACTTCGAGTTTACGAATTAGGTGTCAAGGCCCATTTACGACTCAAGTCTGAACCTAAACAAGGAAAACCAAGACTGCGACACGATCCCTAATGCCTCCACGCTTGCATGGGGCAGTTTCCACATGATATTTGCTGTTATCTATTCACGAAAATATTCATGTTCGTTAGAGAATACCCCGGGTCACCCTGCACGAGATTCGCCTCCAACTACGCTGAAAAGGCTAAGAGATTCAGTGATGAAGAGCTTGCTGTTTCAAGCATTCAGCAAGCTCTTCAGTAATGAAGAGCTTGAAACAGCAAGCTCTTCATCACCTCAGCCCTTCATTTACATGAAATTAAATTTACAAGGGGACTGCTGGGTGTCCGCAAAATCTACACTCTCTGAAGGTCTCCTTTACCCCCATCATCTAAACTTGTCGACAGACATGACAAACGCACGATGCGATGAAGCCTGGAGCTGAAGGTGTTGAAACCGATGCACTCAAACGACGAAACGTGAATATACCTGTCCACAGTGTCTTCGAACTGCCTTAGAAGTTACATGAAAATGTTTCATATAGACGGCTGACTCTTGAGAAGCATTTAGGTTTTTGTAAATGATACTTTTTTCAGAAATATAGACTGTAAGCACAGAGCTCATACTAGGGCATCGCCCTAGGGTGCGTTTTAAGTGAAATATTGCTTTCAGAAAAGCTGCTTCTGACCCAAAGAAAAAAGTGCTTTTTAAGAAAAACACGGATGTTTAAAATATTTACATATGAAAACTCTTCTTGCATGAAAAAAAAGAAAAAAGAGTGACATTTCAACAACTTTAGTCCTTCCCTGCGCCTTTAGGTATTTTCACCACAGTACTTTCAGCTTATGCCAAAACGTCTGCAAATATTAGGAAGGGGCTACTAGCTGTCATGGCTCGCAAACCTGTATCTTTGCATTTACATACTCCCGCATGGGCCGTTAATGTGTGAGGGCAACTATGATAACCGTTGTCAAAAGACTTCACTAAGAATCATTAAGAGGTGTTCATGACGTCATGCGCCACTGAGAAAAAATGAAGGGAAACAAGCGCCAACTTTCTATGGCCACATGCTAACTTTACATATTCTCTTCTGATACGAACCTCGTATGATACAAATATTTTCGGTGATACCAATAGATTCGTATTACCGATGTTTAACTATAATTGCTTTCGCGCTTCAAAACTTCAAGGACCCCTAGCTTTGCCGTGAAAAGTTGAACGTGATTGGGCAATGGGGTCCCATGCGCCGTCTCTTCAAAGAAAGGAACATTTGTGCGAGTAACATTGTCAGGCACAACATATGTACAGTTTCTAAGTGCGCACTATACGCCATAATTCTTTTCTTATCATTGGTGCAATATCCACTATACTTCTGCGTAAGGTGCCAAGCGCACCTGTGTACCTGCATTCTTCATAGTGTGTGTGCACCTCGTCAAGTACACGTTCGTTCCGTAATTCCCGTTTAGGCGCCATGGTAACTCTATGACTCTCTCGGGCAATATTGCATGCATCAATGAGACTACTTCCACCGCATGACATCCCTATTCATTTCCAAAGCTGTTTGAAGCAACTACGTGGCTTTGTGGTGGAGCGTCTGCTTACCACACAGAAAACTTGGCTGGGATCCTCACTTCGAAGCAAAAATTCTTATCAGTAACTTTATTTGCATCTTTCTCGCGTTTCGGGTCACGGGCAATATTAATTTTGGCTCACAACCAATGATACTGACGCCGACGCCAGAAATTTTTGTGAAAGGAGCTCTTTAACGCTGTTGCGTTACCATCACGCTATTATAACAAGGAAAAAGAACGATGCGATGTAATACATATATGTTTCACACACATTATCAGATGCTTTCGAACAATATTACTACGCAAAAGCGTAATTCTGGGGCAGCGCTTTGTTGAACCATGTTCACTTTGTGTAGGCAGCAACACTTGTAAAAGACGCGGGCTCGATGCGCTCCACACCTAGAGAAGCGGCAACGCAGTCGTTTATTGTAACAGAACTATTTCATACATCGAAAACATAAAGAGGAAACATTTATGGTGGGAAGCTTGTGAGTGGACTCAAATATGCAGAGAAGAAGATCTCACGAGGTCCTTTTGCTGATCATTGCAAGCATTTCAAGTGCGTCTTTTCAGTAGCTATAGAGCTGATAAACTTAGATTGGTTCAAGAAAACCTTTTGCAGCTCGTGGTGTATGCGTACTCTTCTAATAACTCTGGTCAGATAAGAAATATAATACCTATATAAGCACCTGCTTGCCATGCGTATTGATAGATTTGCATTGTTTATGGTAGGCCCTTTTGTGCGCATACACTTTGAACTTCTTGCCTCGTACTCTTCAAAGCGTGAAGCCCATTACAGACCAGCGTTCTTATATACTGCCATATTTCCTTCTCTCATTTCTCTTTGATTTCTTCTTGGGCTGAGAAATGTCGTGCTCGAAGTTTTAACAAGCCAAACGTTTCCGCGAGAAATGGTTTATTGTTACCCGAACCAAGATTCCATGCCCGCACTCTCCATTACTATAGGCAGATTGTGGTGCTCAGATGGGCTTGGTCAAGTCGAGGAGCTGATTGCCCATGCGCACGGCCAGCACGAGTCGTGACAGGTCCATGTGGGCCTGTTGCCAGGCTCTTGCCGCCTGAGCGGCGTCTTGTTGTCTTTTGGCGTGGTACACGTGCTCGTGCAAGAAGGCGAACGCCTTGCCAGCGAACGCGTCCTCAGGATCGGCGCCGAATGCCATGTTCCTGCGTGCGCGAAAACCATGAAGTTTCGTGTTGGCTCTTTATTTCATAACATTTGATAAGAGCAATCAAAGCTTGGCTGTCCATTTTCTTGTGAGGTTGTTTCACGCAGCGAAGTCGAGACTTAAGGTTACGCGTTTGAAATTGATTGATAAAGGTGCCTAAAAGGAAGTCTGTACAGTGCTACATTCCCCTTATATTCTTTTTCTCATTTATTAAAACACGTTTTGAAAAAGACATACCTGGAATTAGGTTTCCCTGAGTTCAAAGAAAAATAACGAAATTGTTTATTCTATTTCATTTTGCTTTTACAAAGACGGTTAAAAGACAGTTCAAGTGACTCAAGACTTCGATGAGCAGCTAATGCTCGTAAGAACGCGGCAATGCATCCAGAACGAAGAAACCACTTATTTAGGTTTAGGACAAAAACTTGACAAGTTCATAAACATTGCTTCTCCTTTGGCATTGCAAGCGACGGCAGCCAACAATGGTGAATAGCTTATCCGAGACGTTGTTGGTGTTTAAAAACCTAATACAGCCATTTTACGGTTTCGTTTAGTATTATTGCGACTGACATTCAGCCTAACTTATAAAATTGATTTCGAAAAAGTCCTGCCTAACGCGATGCGTGATTTGGGCGCACGTGGTAAGACTTATACACTTCCACCACCCCGTTCAGCGCAAGCTCTTGCCAAACAACACGTGTGCAGCATCCACATCCATCTCATTTGCACTCGCGACGAATGAATTGTAGGTGTATACGCCGCTACGAATCCCCTATGTATAGTAAAGCAATTGTAATGAATCTACGCACATTACTGTTCGAAGCACATGGGCAGATCAGTTTCAGACACAACGTTTTTTATTGTGCACTGATTTGAGTCGGCTAAACACATCGTCTAGTCAAAGAATTGACACTTTTCAATTCGAACCGTGTTGTGAAAGAAAGGACATTTCGCCTGCTCTTCTTATAGCTGCACAATCAGGAGCGCAGGCGTCACCACGATTGTGGCAGAAATAAAGGAGAAAGAGGCCCTGAAGTTTTGACTTCAAAGGCTGCTGAGGCGAGCTCGTTGGTACGGATACATTGCAAAGCAAATCGCTTAATGAACACACGACACATGGGGCACACGCCCTTGTTCTCGCCTCATGTGTTTAGTGTTCAATAAAGGACCCCAAATCCATGCCAAGTTCAAATATGAGACAGTATTTTCTTTCTCGCCTTGACGACCTCATCATCACTTATTTCTTCATAAAAAGCGTGGAATGGCCGCAATAAGCGTTAATCGTCTCGGGGTTTTCCACTTTTCGAGTACAGTTTGCTCTCTGCACTAGCGGTCGCAAACGCAGAAAGCAAAGTGAAATGCCCTTTAACAGACACATAGGCTTACCACAGGCCCTCAGGTTGGAAGTTGTGCTTTGGAAAAGATGTAACCAATTGTAAAAAAGTCAGCATTTTAGTTACCCCACTTGTGCAAGGATTTCTCACGACGAATGTTGCTGGCGCCCATCTTGTTTCTCTTACTGCCTATTGTAATATTTCGGTTATTAATACTTGCACCTGTAAAGCTTTAATGTAAGGTGATTAAAGGCGCCTTGGCTACCTTATTAAAACCACTCCAACTAATGAATCCTAGGCCGATGGCCAAAGTCAGAGTTTTTTTCTAATTGTTTTTATCATGTGTCTATGTGTACTATGTTGTCCATGGTGCTGCCATTCTTGCAGCCTGGCTGCTTACCGCAGAACAAGATCACCCATTCTTTTTATGTTTCACTCAAATCGTGTTTGTTCAAGTAAAAAACATCTTAGATGGAACTCGTTCAGTTAGAACACAATGTGAAAATATTTGCTCAATCAACGTGCTCACCGGACGTTTATCTTGCCCAGCAGTCCCTCCCGGTTGATGAAGGCGCGTTCGATGAGCATTAGTCGTTCATTGATCACACTCATTGTGGCTTTGCTGCATGAAATTTATTATTATTATAATGGGCTGACTACACAAGTTTAGCATAACACTTGTGCTTCACCTGCAATATTAGCATTATTAACGTCATCACCACCCACTAACCACCAGGGTTGTAAGGTAAAAAGAATGGTTAAAAAATTGAGAAAACAGCGAAAAAGGGGCTCACGTGATCCGAAATCAATAAAAGTTACCAAAAGCATCCACGCATGCCCAAGAACAACTCCCACTTACACGTAAATAAAGCAGCTTAATTGGTGCGAGTTGGCGCTTCTCTAAAACACGTTTTGGCTGCAGTTTACACAAGTGGAATTGCTTCAGTGTCAACTCGCCTTATTCAGAGAAACCACTCAGCTGTTTTTGAAACCACTGTGAAGCATAAAGCACTACACAACGCGTTGGTTATGTCGGCAAATTTCATGATAGTATGACAGGGCACGTAATTAATGAAACCGTGGATCAATAGAATGTTAGCAGAATCGGAAAGACATCAAATAAAACTTAGCAAACCTCATGATGGTATGATAGGGCACGTAATTAATGAAACTGGGGATCAATAGAATGTTAGCAGAATCTGAAAGACATCAAACAAATCTTAGAATGAGATGAAGTGTAGGGCTTTCCGTGGTATGTCGAGGAGGCGAGGGCTCGACATACCACGGGAAGTTCTCTCTCTTTTCCTCTCTATATACTCTCACTACGTTTTCTTTCGGTTTACAATAATATCAATACTTGTCATTTGATGCGGTGGTGTAACGCTTCGCCTTTTTGCAGTGATGAAATTACAGCTTCTTTTTCTTGAAAACTCACGCCCGCCATAGTGGTCTAATGGCTGAGGTACTCGGCTGCTGACCCACAGGTCGCGGGATCGAATCCCAGCTGCATTTCCGATGGAGGCAGAAATTTTGTAGGCCCGTGCGCTCAGATTTGGGTGCACGTTAAAAAACCCCAGGTGTTTGAAGTTTCCGGAACCCACCACTACGGTGCCTCTCATATTACCATCGTTGTTTTGGGACGTTAAACCCCACAAATTATTAATACCTTCTAAAAAATTGAAACAATGACGATTGCTAAATTGTCATCGAGTCTTGATACGCATGTTTTCATTCTCGTAATGTTCATTGGATATAGTATATTTACAAATTCAAGGTGTATCATGCTCGAATGCGAAAAAGACGGTTGCCATCGCAATTCTTATCATGACTCTGATATCGAGTCATCACGAGAAAGTTTGCGGTTTAGTGGTACACACTTTGCTTTGAAGTTAGATAAAAAAGCAAAATTATGCGCATTACATTTGCGAGCGGTCAATGAAAAAAGAAATTATTTCAAAGATACGCGAGTTTTTCAACCCACATTCCTTATTGTTGGGGGCCACTTCAGTTACTTCGCGCATGCGTTCAAAAGGACAAAGGCATTGGGAAATTATCTGATGCACTTAAAAGCTGCTTCAGTTTCGCGTTCTCTATACATCAAACACTCCAATGCTATGAAGGCGAGCGTTGCTAAAGTGACATGGAGATTGGATCATGTATACTTTCTGTTTCGTGCTGAATGTGAGATTACAATTCTGTCAGAATACAATTTTCTGCGTACAATACAGATGCCTGCCAATATTGTAGGAGAGCACGGTTCTGCCAGACTACCAGTTTGTGCGTTCTATATTGATGCCTACCAATGATGTATATGATGGATCTTCGCCTCAATAATTGCATTAGCAACGTCGCAAAGTTACTTTAAGGGAGTCGTTAATTCCTCGTCGGCAACTCACTCAATTTTCTTTTGCTTGTTCAACCAAGACTCGAAATTCCGGGTCGCCTTTTGAAACTTGTTCACTTCGCTGATCAGCCAATCTGAAGAAAACAGAGACATGCAGTTTGGCAATGTGGTATTCTTAGCCAGTTGCAAAATCACAAGAAAGCGAAGTTTCAATTTCAGCCATTATTTTAAGCATTTATCGACTTGTGCTGGAGTGGTAACGTGCTGGGACACATTACTTTTCATTTGTAATAATAATAATAATAATAATAATAATAATAATAATAATAATAATAATAATAATAATAATAATAATAATAATAATAATAATAATAATAATAATATACCAATACCAATATTGCCCCCCCCTCCTTTCCCAGCAGGAAGCTTTGTGCAACGAACGTGGCTTAACGCTGCCACCCAGATGCACAAAGCTTTGTGCATCTGGGTAGTAATGTAATAGGGCAGCACAAAGCTTTGAAAGCTTTGTGCCGCACAACCAGGTACTGTAGTGCCTCAGGAGTGGTAGTGCTGTGGTAGTGACGCCATGATTACGTTGTAAAGGAGTAACAGAGAGGGTGACATGATACCGTCCACTGAAGTGAGAATGTAACCAAGTCAGTGGCATAATGCGAGCTTCGCGGCCGCGCCGTGAGGCGTCACCGTCATCAAAACGACGACAGCCCACCGTCGGCGTAGGTTAACGAAGCCGAACAAAGGCTTTTTTCTCGACGACTTTATTTTTAATGCTTGAGAATGGTAAGCATAAAAAACCGTTTCTCATTTAACTTTTAGGCATTCAGAAGCATACATAGTGCGAACGCGTGCAAAATTAGAAAGTGACGCATTTTAGTTGGCAGCGCGGATTAGAAAACAAATATTCGCACCGCACTGCTCGTGAAATCACGTGGATATGTTGATACCACTTACACAAAGTTTACCGAATACCGTCGAACGAGGTCTTGCGAAATCTTGAGCTACGCAATCTGCAGGAACGTAAGCGGTATACCTTTACTTACACCAGCGAAGGTATCGTAGAGTGCGATGTGAATATCAGAGAGCACTGGAAAGCTTTGTTCTCCGGGCATTTATCTGCATTGGGGCTATGCATAGCACGTACTTTTGCGCATGGAACGCTGATGCATGAATATTGTTCACGGCTGTATATGCTAAAATGTTACTTACGTGACCTTTATTTTATGTAAACATCGATCGATTGACTCGCAATAAAACAATTTATTGCTGCAAGGTTGTGTGATCAGCGTTGTCATTTCACTCGGCCTGCATGTGGCATCACAACTTATCTAGTGGCTAAGGTACTCGGCTGCTGACCCGCAGGTCGCGGGTTCGAATCCCGGCTGCGGCGGCTGCATTTCCGATAGAGGCGGAAATGTTGTAGGCCCGTGTGCTCAGATTTGGGTGCACGTTAAAGAACCCCAGGTGGTCGAAATTTCCGGAGCCCTCCAGTACGGCGTCTCTCATAATCATATGGTTGTTTTGGGATGTTAAACCCCACAAATCAATCAATCACAACTTACTAAATATGCAATACACTTATGAGCTTCTAGTACGTAATACTAGAAGGTCATAAGTGCTTCATAAGTGCTCATAGAAGTTCATAAGTGCTTCATAAACTAGAAAAATTGAGAAATGGGGCTGCTGAGGTGAGTAGGGGCAGCCATTACGTAGAAACAGACGACGAAGGTGTCGTCGGCTACGCGGAAGGCCAGCTGCCATATCGAAACGTCCTGGTGCAATTTGAGACCTAATTCATTTTACACACAGCCATAACTTATACAAACAAGATTGTTTGTTATTTGTTCATGAAAATTACTTGAGAGTAGAAGATAATAACCTTTTTAGTTATAAGTAAAACGGTATAATTCCAATCTTTTTACAATTACCGTAAGAATCCAGACGACGCCATCGTCGCGTTCAATTTTCTTTCCTATGGGCTCTATGGGTATGACACTCCCTTGATGTAACTCTTTCACTTCGAAACAACCATCGATTTCATAATATTTTCCTGAAGAATTTCAACTGCCCGCTGTTTATGTAGGTTTCCAGTGTGATTGTATGAGTGCCAGCTTAATCTATGACACGCCCTAAGCAAAGCATGCACCCCATCACGTATAAATCTCACTTAACCTATCTTCACTGTTATTTGTTTAATTCCTTTATTTGTGAAGCCTTCGAGATAACCATCTGTAGAATAGAAAATGTTGCCCCTTGGTGCTTCTACCACTATTCACTACTTTTTACTAGCCAACTTTAGCTTTCGCAGGCTGCATTTGAGCAAATAAGGCAATGGAGACATCAATCTGACCTATCCTGGTAGACAAAATTGGTGGTGGATGGCCACGACTCCAACGCCGTCTCAACTTACCGAGCGAGATGTTGTGCTTGCTCATCTCACCCACCATGCTCGGGTCTAATCCGCGGACGGCGGAACGGAGCTCGTCGGCAAATTCGGTCACCCGGTACGGCAACACTGCGTCTTCGGCAAGCCGCAGCGTGAGTGCTGCGTTCACCTGGCTGCAGCGCAGCGTGAGTGCGAACTGCGGATCTACCGAGCGCTCGAAGAGTTCGCGGTTGTCGTACGCCGTGTGATAGGCTGGAAACCAGCCTTCTGGTCGAGCCTGCACAATACGGGGCCTCCTAGGAATCTGCTGCTACATCGTGAAACTTATTTGGTGGAGCGTTATGCCACATGATGATACTCAGCCTCCGGACATAATTGTGGGTGATGTACTGAGTCTCCGTTATGGGTGAAGATGTGACATGAAGAAAAATTGGTCGTGCCACGCGTAAAGACACGGATAAAGAGCTATGCGACACAACACGGCGACAACCTTTAACTTGACTTGAGAACGCCAAACCTAAAGCTCTCTATACATTTACACCTCCAATGGATATCATGGAGGTGTACCATTCTTCTTAGTCTATTTCTTTCACACTGCGCTGTTAAGCAGGGGCGCAAACATTTTTTTTGTGTAGGGTGCACCACCTTGACTAGGAGTGAAGGCCTGGCAGGTAGATGTGGTCGAGAATCTTTTTTTTACGCTATACGTGCCATGGCAAAAAAAAGTACTGGGCACGGGCCTGTTATAGCACTGCTCAATAGGAAACATCGGTTAGGGTGGCCCAAAATGCACTAAGTGGTCCAAATGAAATCATCTGACCTCAATGCACACAATAATATAGACAAGCAAAACTGTCATTTGGGCTGGTTATAGTAACGATTTATCGTGAATGAGAGAAGTGGGCGCAGCATACGTAACAGGGATTGGGGAAAAGGATCCTGTGTTGCTCTTGCGTTGTGACTGTGTGCGCCTGTGTTGCTTTCTTCTCCAGTCCCTTTTATGTACTGCGCCTCACTTCGTGCACTCACAATGAATAAAAGCTTCATAATTTGGTGTAGGAATAATTTATTGGTCGTTAAGGCAACATTTCCGGTTCTAATGATTCCAGAGTAGAGAACAACCTAATGCCGTGAAGGTCTCTTTTAGGTGACCCCAGCGCAGCAGCCGATTCCTCCCTTGACAAATAAAAAATGTTATTGGGAGACCCTTAAGTTTCCCCTGTTGGAGTTGGACGTCATAGCGAAATTATGTTCCTAGTGCGTACTTCAAACACTTGGCGTATGAAATCTTTTCGAGCTTGCTATGCACCCACTACGTGGCCTTAAGGACGCAGTAGCATGTGTGTCTTTTGTAGTGGGTGACTGGCTTCAAAATATGAAGTCATTTTGATGATCCCATGTGGTGACGCCCGATGGCAATGTAGGCTAGAGCCGCGCATTATCATGGTAATATTTCATGTTTTGTTGTGAATAATATGTACAGCACGCGTGTGTGTTTAATGCATGAAAGTTATTTTCACTGCATTTTGAGTAGAAGTTATTTTCACTGTGTACACAAGCAGAGGTGTGAATGTGCGTTAATAAACAAAACAAAAAGAGGCATGGCTTGTTGTTAGAACGACCGCTTGCCACAGAAACGACCCGGGTTCGATCGTCACTACGGCTCAGAATTTCTCTGTTATTGATTTTATTGCATCTCTCTCAATTTTTCGGTCACGCAAAGGTAATGATTTTTCACTCGGAACCAACCACACTGAAACCGACACTGACGCTAAAGTTTCCGCGGAACGAGCTCTTTAACGCTATCGCGTTAATGTATCCGCACATGTAGCCAGCCTGTTTTCTATCAGCCGGACTGTCAAGTGAGAGACACATGGTGTGATTCGGCATCCGATCCGGCGTGCGACGCCGCGTAGGACGGTTCACGACACATAGGGCGAACATCCATCAGCACTTAGGCTCTACCCACATACGGCGCCTTAGCTTTGCACGTCCGGAAGACATCGTATCCTCTTTATTAAAAAGTCATGCCTTGTTGTATAATAACATTGCCAACTATTGTACGCCTTCGCATGCAACGAACATTGCCACAGCCAACATTCATTCTCGGTTCCGAGGGTAGGCCGATATAGCAAGGCCGACATTCTCGGTAGCGCCGTTCTTTTTCCAACGTGAGCTCATTGTCGAGGAGGAGGAAATACTTTATTAAAGGAAAAAAAAACGGGAAGATGTGGAATAATGTCTCCTTCCCCTAGGTGGCAGCCATGAGTCCTTGAGCTCTGGCAGCATCCTCGGCTTGCCGAAGGACTTCGAGTTGCACGTCTGGGTCTGCGCTTAGCATTGCGGTCTCCCACTGCTCTCCATTGCTGTATATTTTATATTGCCCTGTCACTGAAGGGCAAGCCCGCACTATATGATTGAGATCTACCCTTTGATTACGGAACTTACACAAATCTGAGTATATCTCTGGGTAGATGTAGTGAATGCTCTTTTTTTTACCAACACAATAAAATCTTGTACACGTACATGATGCTTTCACACGTGCAATTGGCTTTTTCGACAGACTCGATGTAAAAAGCAATAGTGGGAATGAAGCTGGCCGGTTCAGTGACACCGCCGACACCACTGGTTGTTTACCTCCAAAATGGCCTTCCATCACGGCTCGATATTGCGTCGTCGGTTCGGAAACGAGAATTGCTTTGCAGAAATAGCACACTTCAAGCATCACTTTATTCAGTCATGACTTGTTTTGTGTCAGGAACTGTTTAACCAATGTTTTTTCATGCCACTGCCAACGGTGATATTCACAAATACTAGGGCGATCGGTGCTATTGCAGCGGCGAAGCAAAAACTTGCGATAGCCGCTCACCAGAGGCACCCTTTGTCAGGTTCCCGCGCTGCCATTGGCTCCCGCCGCCGGACCGATGCGGTTGCCGCGCGGCTACATTCAGCATGTTGGATGCACACGCGGCGTGCGAACTGTCGCAGAATTCTGTTGGAACCTGTTGGACATCTGTCGGATGCTGCTGATGGCACAACACCCGTACGGCAAGTGGCATCCAAATTGACACCATGTGTCTCCCGTTTTAGCAATATGTGTGCCACTGATGAAGTCATTCAAGTGCGAGCTCTTAGACGTCAGACTCGAGTTTTGTGGACACGCAGTGCCACTTCTCGACGCAGTTTTGAGTAGTGCAAAGCCCGACACTTTTGCACAGTTTGCTGCGCAACCAGGTGCAACTACAGCGTACGAAACAACGATTGAGCTAAATATTTGATGTATTTGAGCATTGAACACTCAGGAAAAGAGCTACGAATTTATATCCGCTAGTAGGACGCGTCATCGAACCCCCGTGAAGTGCTTGCTGATTCGCTCGCCTGAACGACGGTGAAAACAGGAGCAGACATAAGCTCCGCGCTCTACAAAAAAAAAAAAAGACACCAGTTTGCGCTACTCTTACGTTGGGAATTACCACAGACGTGGACGACTTCAGTTTTACTGATTTCTGCAGCTTTCGCAAAGGAGACTGGCAAGAGAGCTAAATACAGGCCGTTGCGAACGTGGGTATGCGAATACTCGCGTTTTCCACAACCGTTCGCTTGAGTAAGTGTGATAATGTAGGTATCCTGTTTTTGTTTTGAGTAGTCCTGACGGAGAACCGTGGTAACTTTGATTGTGAAGCTTAACAGATCCTCTGTCCTCGCTGCACGAGGTGCAATAGTAGACACGTGACGCCTGGTCGCAATAAAGATCGCACACGCTGCGACCACCAATCTTCTGAAGTTATCACCACCACACAGCATTACGTACACCAGGGCTTTGAAGGCTCTTTGAAGGCTCTTTAACTAGATAACGCGAACACGGGCGTCATACAGGTAAATCAAAAAATGATCGCGACCACAAACAGTTTTTTTTTTTTTGCCGTTGGTCTCCGACCTTACCGGAGCTCTCTCGAAGGCATCGGTATTGCCTTTCGCTGTACAATGAGAAACTGAACACGCATGTATCCCCACTCACAGTGTGCACACATGGAAGACAACCATCAAAAGAGCATTTGAAAATGCCCAATAAAACACTTCAATGCACAGCAAGCAACTGCAAGCAACTGCAAACAAGAATGCAACTGCAAAGCGAAAATGACCAGGGGCATTCGTTCCAGATAAAGCAAGCTTCGTACCACTGATCCCACAGATTCTTCGCGTATGTACCTGGTTTAGAGCTTGCCTCGAACTCGATGTCACGTTATGCTCGCTAGCACTAAAACAGCCAGTTGCAGCATGCCGCCATAAATTACACATTTTTTGCACTCTGTCCGCATTTTGTTTTGATGAGCTTCCTACATTTATGAAGCGAGCTTGGATTGAATGAAGAGCCTTGCCAGGTTCTTGATTTTTATGAAACCGGGCCTCAAGACCAGCGAAACAGGAGCGCCTATGCACGTTCGCTTGCGGACGGCTCTCTGTGCACTAGGCATTTATGACCGACGTGGTGATGGGGGCGCTGGTGGCGTCATGTTTCGCAGCGCCACCTGGGCAGAGTCTGAAGTCTATTGGCGCAAAGTCGTGTGCATTCACCTTTGAGGTGCAAATGTGACTGCCCTCAAAATGTGTACACGCCTATCAAATAATTTGCGGCTACGGAGCTTAAAGGACCACTCACCATGCCGCGTTCGAAGACGAGAGGGTGATTTTTTCCTCTCTCTCATACCCACGATACATCCTCCTCGCCCCTATGTTCTTGAACGTACATGAACAAAATCAGCACTAAGCGCTAGTGTCTATCAGGATTTCGCGCTTCTCGGCTACATGCTGTTATTGCCGCTTGCGCAGTTTCAAACACCAAAAGTGAAGTTTGATTGGTTGATTGTGCTCAAAATTCATGCGAGAAAAGGAAGAACGGATGAGCGGCTGCACTGAGAAGCAGTGATGGAGACAAATCACGTGTGATATTTCACGCATATCAATGAAGTGAGAGCATGAACGCAGTAGACGTCACGGTAACTGCTGTCTGCGTCACAGTAGTGCGCCAAGAAGGACGAAAAGTATCAGGAAGAAATATTGTGCTCTTTTTTGTATTTTGGGAGTCTGGTCAGTGGCCCTTTAAGCTAGATTCTATGCTGCGGCAATTGAAGTCAGCTTCTTCCTTCCATGGGGGAGTTCAAGCACACAAATAACCACACCCAGCGTTACGAAAATTGCACGGTCACACTGGCTTTTTGAAGACTTGATCGCACAGATAAGGCTGATTGTGCATTTGCATCTCTAAGCAAACAACGTCACAGACCAAGCATGCACACCTGTGGGAGCTGTGCGTTTGCGCGCGTACCGGAAAATGCCTCGCTACTTTTTCGGTATATCCGGCACTACCATGTCCAGGACTCAATGCCCCAATGGTAGCGTGCGAAAATTTGCAAGATTGAAGCTTCCTATTTGCACTGTGCGATCGATCGCCTTTGGTTACGAGAGCAAGGCGGTTATCTGTTGTAGCTGCGAGCAGAAAGGTTATGCTCCACTGATAAGGGAGCAGGTAAGCTGATACAGCCAAGGATTTTAACATATTGCAATTTCGCCACATTTTGTTGCCTGAACAATGAGATGCTGCATTAGCTGCTCGGTAAAATTTAAATAAGGGAGACTACTTTTAGTTGAGAATGCGAGTTACAGGAAAAATATATACACTATCGTACCACTGGCTGTCCGCAGAACACAATACTGGCACTCCAGATAAGCGTCAAAAAGAACCCAATGTAACATGACTATACTCTTAGCGCTAAAGACTGCTAGTCTTTTTAAAACAAATGTTTTACTAGAATCCGGGAGAAAAAAGAAGCGAGCATCATAAAAAGCACCAACACCATGAGAGAAAACTCACCTCCTTGGGACGAAACGTGAACTGAATTGAAGGTATTCCCGCATAGAAGGTGAAAGCTGCGTGGTCCCCCACACCGTGGATCAGCGGGATGCTGTACACAAAAGACTCGAGACATTGTAGAGTGCGCTGGCTGCTTGGACATAGCTGGGAGCGCTTGTCAACACGCTTGCGAATGACGAAGATACGCATTACACTGACGGCGCTAAATGGTGCGTGAACTACGGCTCAGCATTGTCGGTAAGCGTTGACCGAATGGACTAGTAAAGAAACACAACAATACCGAAACTTGGAGCTAGTTGGTCATTCTTCGTAATGAAACGGCAGCGCAACCAAATAGGGACAGAAGAAAGTTTCGTGAGCTTTTTTTCCCTCTGGCTGCGTGTGGTTGCGCTGATTTTCCATTATGGAAGAAGAAACCCCTTTGAATCTTTTTAATCAACGTAAGGCGTGCCTAGTGTTCAATTGCTGTCCGAAAACAAGCACCATATTAAATCACTAAATATTGTCAATAATTGTGTCTGTTTACTGTTTAGTTCACCTCATCAGTTCTGCCACTTTTCTGACTTGTTTTGTTAGGATGTGCGGCTAGTCAGGCGGCGTTTGTATGAAAGCTTTTTTCCCGCATTCCACTCCACACATCGTATATCTGTTGTCAATTAAAAAAATATCAATGCGTCACTCTGTGGTGAAATAAACTTCCACTCTACCTTCAACTTCAGTTCTATGTCATATACGGTTGTACATGCATCTTGCCCATGCAACAAATTTATATTCTTGCTTTTAAGCCTGAAATTTTATCTGAATCCTGCTATAATAAATTTTAATGCATGGAAGCAAATACTCAGCCTTGTTCGGCTATAGTTATCAGCCATACGTTCTTCTTTACGAATTTTATCTATATGTATATTGTTATCACACATTATTGAGAACGTAAATATTTATGTGAGTGTACTTTTGAAAGCGTGGCATTATCTTAAGGCTGGCGGAAGCGGAGGAATCTAGATAAGTATTTATTCCATGTTGTTGTTTCTTCATGTACAAAATTATGTGCTGATAAATCAATCAATATATATATATATATATATACATATATATATATATATATATATATATATATATATATATATATATATATATATATATATATATATATATGAGATCTGACAGACAGTGATGCCTTGGAATGTATAGGGGAAGTTATTAGAACAAATGGAATGTAAATAAGAAGAAAGAAAAGTGGGTGAAAAAATAAGCCGTAAGCAGGAATCGAACCTACGACCTTCGAATAACGCGTTCAATGCTCTAACCACTGAGCTATCACAGCGGCTTTCCCTCCACCCACATTTTCGGGTTTATATGTGAATTTTTAGAAGTGAGAGTGTCGGTCAGCGCCATCTATAAGCCAAGCGGTGAGCGTGAAACACCCTTTTATGCGCATGTATGGCGTCACGTGGCACGTGAACTTATCAAGGCACTGCGCCGTGCTCCCGACCGGGTTGCAGAAATTAGGTGCCTTTTCTCATCTTCTAACCACTACCACCACCACCATCTTATTACGAGCGGGCAGCTGACCAATAGTCCCTCGTATACAACCTAATGACACCAAGTCTGCCAGTATACGAGACCCTCGTTAATGAACAAGGGAAAGAGGTGTATACCTAAGGGCTCGTTTTTCTGTGTTTTGATACAATATTAATGAGATCTAACAGACACAAACGGCAAGGAATGTATAGAGGAAGTTATTTAACAAGTGGAATGTAAATAGGAAGAAAGAAAAGTGGGTGAAAAAATAACCAGCCGTGAGCAGGAATCGAACCTACGACCTTTGAATAACGCGCTCGATGCTCTAACCACTGAACTATCAAAACGGCCTTCCCTCCTCCCACATTTTTGGGTGTATATGTGAATTTTTAGAAGTTAAAAAAATTCTAAAAAGTCACCTATAAACCCAAAAAAGTGGGAGGAGGGAAGGCCGCTGTGATAGCTCAGTGGTTAGAGCAACGAACGCGTTATTCGAAGGTTGTATGTTCGATTCCTGCTCACGGCTGGTTATTTTTCACCCACTTTTATTTCTTCTTAGTTACATTCCTATTGTTCTAATAACTTCCCCTATACATTCCTTGGCATTACTGTCTGTTAGATTTTATTAATATTGTGTCAAAACACAGAAAAACGAGCCCTTAGGTATACACTTCTTTCCCTTATTCATTAACGAGGGTCTCGTACTGGCAGACTTGGTGTCATTAGGTTGTATTCGAGGGACTATTAATCAGCTGCCCGCTCGTAATATGTTCACGTGCTACGTGACGCCACACATGCGCATAAAAGGGTGTTTCACACTCGCCGCTTGGCTTATAGATGGCGCTGACCGACACTCCTACTTTTAAAAATTCACATATAAACCCAATAATGTGGTTGGAGGGAAGACCACTGTGATAGCTCAGTGGTTAGAGCATCGAAGGCGTTCTTCGAAGGTCGTAGGTTCGATTCCTGCTCATGGCTGGTTTTCTTTTCACCCACTTTTTTTTCTCCCTATTTACATTCCATTTGTTCTAATAACTTCCCCTATACATTCCTTGGCATTACTGTCTGTCAGATGTCATTATTATGGGTCAAAACACAGAAAAACGAGCCCTTAGGTATACACTTGTTTTCCCTATATATATATATATATATATATATATATATATATATATATATATATATATATATATATATATATATTGACGAAGTTTTTCCAACAGGCCGAAGGTACTTCGGAAGAAGAGAAGAGACAGAACTAAGCGGTTGCCTTCATTTCATTAACGATGCTTTCGACCTGTGAACCGATCTTCGTCAGGGTTTGCGAACAAGTGAGCGAGTTCACGTATATACACTTATTATCGATGAAGCGGTAGCCGCGAAAAGATGAATTAGGCAGAAACCCGGCATGCACGAGCCACATGGACCAATATTTTCTTCCATGCTGGCACTGAGCTGGCACCCCTATGATCCAGTAAAATTACTCCCCGCGCACAAAGGAGCCAACCTGGCGACATAAGGAAATGACACAAGAAGGTCATAGCATGGTTTGAAGCGTGACACGTGAACTGTTTCACGCCCACGGCATCATTGGTCCAAAGGTGGATCAATGGGCTCAACGTCATAGTTGAAGGGAGTTGTTTGTCGCACCACACAGTAGGGGTCACAGTATTTCGACGATAGCTTTGAGGAAAGACCAGGAGGGATAGACGCAGAGCCAAACCAACATTCCTGGGTTATAGTGGGCACTAGACGCAGAGGCATCGTCGTGAGTTTTCTGGTTTTCTGGGGCCATTGTTTTTGCGCGGTAAACGACTGAGTGAGTTGACGACACTTTTTGGCATAATCAGTTGCTTCGGAAACAGGTATCGGGTCTGTAGGGAAGAATAGTGCCCATGGAGCATGATGGTTCCCGTCCATACAGAAGGAAGAAAGTAGAGAAGCCGGTGGTTGTTTGTGGCGCAGAGTTGTATGCGTACGTGGCAGATGGGAGCACTTGGTACCAGTTAGTGCGTGTAAGACGCGCACAGGCAAGCATATTTCTAAGCAAGAACTAGCTGTTTGCGGCTAACACTTCATCAATTATAACAAGTGTTTATACGTGAACTAGCTCGTTGCGATGGGTGGAAACGTGCTGGAGCTCCGCAGCCGTAAACTATCATCTGATTCCAGAGTAACCAAGTGCGTCAATCCCCCACAAGCCTCTTCCACGCCGGCATCTGCCATGTGGCCTGGTGTACTTCGTCTGCGTGACCCGCCAGACTACAATGGCACGATACACTGGCTGCAGAGTACGAGCGCGCCAGCGCGATTAACAAGTGGGATGACCCCAAGAAGCTGACTCACTTCATCTGGTTCATCAACCACCAAGCTGAAATCCCCAGCTGGTCGTTTTTCAAAGAGACCGTGACCTGGTTTTTCGGTCATCCAGCAAGCGCAAGCTTCGCGCTGAACTTGGCCTGCGGGGACAACTTCAACGAAATGGTGTGAGGTTGTATGATATATATAGTGTGAGCTTGTATATATATATATATATATATATATATATATATATATATATATATATATATATATATATATATATAAGGGAAAGAAGTGTATACCTAAGGGCTCGTTTTTCCGTGTTTTAACACAATATTAATGAGATATAACAGACAGTAATGCCAAGGAATGTACAGGGGAAGTTATTAAAACCAATGGAATGTAAATAAGAAGAAAGAAAAGTGGATGAAAAAATTACCAACTGTGAGCAGGAATCGAACCTACGACCTTCGAATTACGCGTTCGATGCTCTAACCACTGAGCTATCACAGCGGCCCTCCCTCCATCCACTTTTTTGGGTTTATCTGTGAATTTAGAAGTAGGAGCGACAGTCAGCGCCATCTATAAGCCAAACAACGAGTGTGAAAACACTCTTATGCGCATGTTTGGCGTCACGTAGCACGTGAACTTATTATGAGCGGGCAGCTGATTAATTGTCCCTCTTATACAACATAAACACACCAAGTCTGCCAGTACGAGACCCTCTTCAATGAAATAAGGGAAAGAAGTGTATACCTAAGGGCTCGTTTTTCCGTGTTTTAACACAATATTAATGAGATATAACAGACAGTAATGCCAAGGAATGTACAGGGGAAGTTATTAAAACCAATGGAATGTAAATAAGAAGAAAGAAAAGTGGATGAAAAAATTACCAACTGTGAGCAGGAATCGAACCTACGACCTTCGAATTACGCGTTCGATGCTCTAACCACTGAGCTATCACAGCGGCCCTCCCTCCATCCACTTTTTTGGGTTTATCTGTGAATTTAGAAGTAGGAGCGACAGTCAGCGCCATCTATAAGCCAAACAACGAGTGTGAAAACACTCTTATGCGCATGTTTGGCGTCACGTAGCACGTGAACTTATTATGAGCGGGCAGCTGACTAATTGTCCCTCTTATACAACCTAAACACACCAAGTCTGCCAGTACGAGACCCTCGTTCAATGAAATAAGGGAAAGAAGTGTATACCTAAGGGCTCGTTTTTCCGTGTTTTAACACAATATTAATGAGATATAACAGACAGTAATGCCAAGGAATGTACAGGGGAAGTTATTAAAACCAATGGAATGTAAATAAGAAGAAAGAAAAGTGGATGAAAAAATTACCAACTGTGAGCAGGAATCG